TAAAGCATGACAATATTGCACAGACAAAGGAAAAATAGATTTGCCTGAGTTCATTCCTAATCACAACAAACAGCATGAATCAATAATACATAAAAGAAAAATATAAATAAAGTTAGCCCTATGGACTTCACAATGCTCATACCAACCTGTTTGTGAATCAAGAAATGGAAGGCGTGTCTTACGTTCCCGCATAAGACGAACATTGTAATTAGCGCTGTTAATCATCAAAGAACGGTACTGTACATCCTGGAGAAAACTGCAAGTAAAAATAAAAAATATAAATATACATAAACAAAAGCATTACTATAGTGACATTATGACAAAAAATATTTAATATTTTCAGTTACTATTCAACAGGAAATTAAAACAGTTATAAATAATTCTAATGGGAATATCTAAATATTTAACATTACTCATACCTATGGGGGAAAGAAAATCTTGGACTGTGCAATCATCAAATACCATCTACATTGATAATTTCAATTTCATAAATTAGCAAGTATTAGTGCATTAGTGAAACAATCAACCTGTGGTATAACAATCAATTCTCTATTAACATTTTATATAAAGAAAGTTGTAGGCAACACAATACTATTGTAAATATTATGGAGAGCACTAACCCCAAATTTTAAAAAAATAATACTGTAACTTTAAATACAAAACCTCTATCAATACTGCTCTATTAATGAATTGACAGTAACTTCAAATTTAACAACAACTCTCTAGATAGATTGTGGTACTTTAGGAAGAAGAAGAAGAAATAAAAAATAGTTTCTTATGCTTTGCATTAAATAGCACAGCAAGGTTTGAGATATTTGACTTTCATACGAGTTCTTGAGATTCTGTGAGAGTAATGACATGAAATTAAGTAAAACAAGAATGATTACTGATAACAGATACATACATAGAATGGATACAACTACAAACCAGGCAACATATTTCACTTTAGTATACTTTTTTCATTTCCCTGTTCTCCTTCTCTCTCCCTCTCCTCCCTCATGCTCTCCATCTCATTTCTCTCTCTCTCTCTCTCTCTCTCTCTCTCTCTCTCTCTCTCTCTCTCTCTCTCTCTCTCTCTCTCTCTCTCTCTCTCTCTCTTACACTTTATCATTTACTGCTTGCATTTTTTCAGTCTTACTTACTGTCTTCTTGCCTTTACTCTTTTTTCTCCAGATTTCCCTCCTACTCGTTCTCTACCTTTCTTCCTTCTTTCCCTATCTTGTTCCATCTCACCCACCAAATTTGAAAAAAAAAAAACATCTTTCTCCCTGTTTTCTTCCTCCTCATCTTCTATACTCTCACTCTTGTTCTTTTTCTTCATCCATTCCTCCCTCTATCTATATCTTAACTCAAGTACATCTAAAAATACTATATATTTACAAAGTTAATTACTGTTGGGCAATACTTAAAGGATATAGAAATAATATATTTTCAGGTGATCTAACAATAACTGAGTTTGATCCCACACCCTGAATGCTTAAGTTACAACTTCATTTAAAACGGATTGCTTCAGATATTCATAATTTAAGGATCCAGTTGAAAGACGTGCCTCAGTGAAGACACAAAAACAGTACAATGGATGATAACCCATAATACGACTACCAGCCACGTGCTTTAAGAATTGAGACCATGACAAAGAACAACTAAGTAAACCAAGACATTGATTTTAATGGGGCATGTTACTAAAACAAAATTGTAAAATATTCTTAATAAGACCTACATGTATTCCCATAGTTTGCATTACATGGCTTATTAAAATACATCCCGAAAACCCACGCAAAAAATCAAAGAGACTGAGAAAATCAAACACCCAAGTTTTTTTTTTATATTATACAACAGACCTCAGGTTCAAAGAACAATGACCTCAACCCCTTAAAGTTCCTCAGGCCACGTCTCAGACCTCAGCCAGAACCCCGCCACGCCCCTGCGCCCACCAGGTGAGCACGGGCGTGATCGAGATAAGGAGTCCGCCCTCACTCCAGCTACCGGTAGTCCAAGTGTCAGTCTCAGCTGTCCGAGAAACATTCCCTCACCTGCTGATTTTCTCCAGGTTGGACTGCACCAGAGTCTCGGCCATCGTTCAGGCGGTCAGCTCGGCCTACCAGATGGCTGCGCAGTGTGGAGAGGTGTGAAAGAAAGGGTCAAATTCCGGCGTCCATCGGTAATTAGTCGTGTGTTCTTCGCCTTCGACCCATTTGTTTACTAGGCTGCCCCGCGTCCGATCCCCTGCGCCGGCCTTGGCTTTGGATCCGACTCCGTATTTGAGAGGGGGTGGTTGCTTCTGGGGCATTTTGGGAGGGGGATTAACCCATTTATGCAAGTTAGAATTTGTTATAAGGGTTTGGGGGGACTTGGTGGGTGACGTTTAATTTTGGGTGTTGTGGTTAAAAAGGTCTTTTTATTTTATCGCTCCTCGAATCATTCGGACAGATATTAAAAAGTGTTGCTCAAAATTATGACTAGCTATCGGTAATGTGCAGTGTGTAATTTGTAACACTGG